CTTTGTTAACTTGTACTTTAGGACGTACGATTTAACCTATGTTTTCTTCTTATTGAACGACTGACTAGAATTGCCAACTGCCCATACTTCTTTTCTCTTCTTAGTTTCTCATTTTTCTAAGCCGGTTGATCTTGCCGACTCCCTTATGTCAGACCTCTTTGAGTCCGACTGCTTGCTGGAAGAGCAGAGTTCATTTGCCTGTATATAGGCTATAGCCTCCCTCAATGCGTCTGTAAGAGTGAAGATTCTCTTCCGAACGAGGTCGAACTTAAAGGCCGACCTGTCCTTCAAACCCTTGAAGAAGTGTGTGAAAACAACTTTGTCAGGCAGCCCTTGAATCCAAACGGAACCGTTCACGATCTCCTTGAACAATCGCCCCCAAGTCAATACTTGTCTTTTTGGCCAGTATGTTCATTGAGAAGTTTGAGGCAAACACACTAATAGAAAATAGGCCATTTCCAACAGAAAAAATCCGTCAGAAAACACCCTGTTTTCCGTCGAAACCGGTTGTCGGAATAGGTTTTTTATGGTAATATAAAACGACCTTTTTAGACGGAAACACTTTTCAGGCGGAATTTTCAACGGAATTAAGTTGTCGGAAGAGATTTGCCAGCCCGAGAAAAGTCCGTCGAAAACTTCCGACGGACACAATTCTGCCGGAAATTTCCGACGGATACAATTCTGCCGGAAATTTTAGACAAAAACTCCGTCAAAAAGGCTATAATCAAATTAAAAAAAAAATACGCCGCCCCACCACCGTCACGGCATATCACCATTCACCACCTCTAACCACACGAAAACCCATTGTCTACCCCACCCCACCTAACTGCCCGAAACACCACCACTACTCTAATCGAACCACCCCTCCACCCACCTTATCTGAACCACCCAACCACTTACCCTAACCGATCCAGACCTACCTCTTAACCCTATTCGAAGACCCCACCACCTTAACCCACCCCACCTAACCTTAACCCTGACCTACTCCAAACTAAACCTAGATCTAAAACCACCCACCACGGCCCACCTAAACCCTGATCTAAAATCACCTATCCTAAGTGAACCACCCACCATGGCGCCAAAACACCTCAACCACCGTAAATATTTAAAAAAAATCGAAAAAAACAACTACCAAAATTTTAAAAAAAAGGGAGATACATACCTTATTCCACCTCCAAAATCCTGAAATTGGGTTTATGAGGCCAATTTCGACCATGAAAACTCTAGATCTAGAGTATTCATGGTGGAATTTGTCCTAAAAACTTCGTTTTTCACCGTTGATGTCTGTGTTGGTGGTGTTCGTTGTTCATATCGGTATTGGTGTTGTTGTTGTGGTGGTTAGTGGCTGGCGGTGGTAGTTTGAAAGATGGGGTAAAGAAGATTAGAGAAGGAAATGGAGAGAAGAAATAGGCGAGAAAGAGAACAAGGAGCGGAGAGAGAAGGAGAAAGACAGAGAAGGAGAAGGGGAAAGGGATAGAGAAAGAAAAGGGGGAAAGGAAAGAAAAGAGGTGGAAAGCAAGGGGGTATTGTTAGGGTTTTCTATAAAAAGCTTTTTTTTTTTTTTTTAAATTATATTCCAACAGAAATTCTGTCGGAAATTTCTGACGGAATAAAAATTCGTCGGAAAAGGTACTTGGAAGGTACATAAATTCATTATTTTCTGTTGGAAATTTTCGACGGAAACAAAATTCGTTGGAATTTCTGATTTTTCCGATGGAATAATGTGTCCGTTGGACCTATTCGTCGAAAATTGACCTGATTCTTGTAGTGACAAGAACGCAAACGTTTTGAAATTGTTGATGCACCCAGACGGTAGGTTGGCGAACCACTATTGTGCAATGCCTTTTAGTGTGGCTGGGAAGCATCTGCGCCATCCAGCATCATCTAACCTCTATAAGTATATCAGGTTGGTATATGCCATTAGGTAGTATTCTGGGTTGGTGGTGCCATCATAGGCACCAACCAGAACATTCTTAACCTTGGCCGGTTGTGCCGCCTCGGTAATGTCCCTAGAGAAAGTCGAGGGTTGTTCTCCAAGTTTAAGCAGACGGAGCTGCCAGTCCAAGGGTTGGACTTGATATGCCGCCGACCCCCGAATAGGGCAGGTTGCTGATAAGGTTGGGCAAACGGCCCGTATGTTTGGTGAGGCACATACGACGCTGAGCCTATCACATTGAGACCTGTGTGGACGGACTGGCCGCCCGACAGGTGCTCCTGAGCCGATTAGGAATTCCTTAGTGAGGTATCCCTAAAGATGTCTGGAATTGTTGGCGTTGATGCCGTGTCAGATAGTTGGCTATTCCTCTTGTGCTCGATGATCTGCCGAGCATCAGTGTAAGTCTTATTGCTGCCAGTAGAGCCGGATGGGCTTTCTCATCGTCATCTCTTGGAGAAAAAATTTGGTCTAGTTAATTAAAGGTCAGGCCCTCCCTTTCTACTTAGGATGCGGAGTGAGCTGCCTATATTTGACTGTTGTGGCCTTTTCAAAGTAAGAAGGCTTCTTGGCTGACTGACCCTTGCTAGGACCATTCGTCTGACTTTTGATGAAAGTTTTCATCTCTCCCTTAAAGCCGTTCATGGACTTCAAGAATTCGAAACAGGTGATGTAAGCAGTCGGCTCTTCAGCCTGAGGCATGCCGTTTGACTTACTCACACCAGCTTGGTTAACATTCCATTCTTTTCTTTCCTTTTGACGGATGCGTTTCGTGATGAGGGAACTATTTTCGGCCGTATGTACTTCGACCTCTAATTAATCCTCAGACTCAATATCATGGTCCGAATGGACCTCTGCTTTTGGACGCTTGTCCTTAGGAGACAGTACAGGTTCTTGAGAAGCCATCTTAGAGGTACTCTCCCAACGGACGACACTAAATGTTTCTTTGGAGTCTTCTGATGTGTCCATGGCCTACGGGAGAGTTACGTCACCAAGACTAGATCCTCGTTCGCTTGTACCTACAACAAACTGAAGCTCTGGTTGTTCGGAGTTTCGCCTCCGATGATCAAGTTAGTACGTGTCGAAGTTGAGTGAAATGCGGAAAGTAAAGTGAGTCTTCTTGAATCCCGAGATCAGGTGATTTATATGATGTAAGAGAATAGTAATTGATGTAATAATTAGGTAAGATGTAATAATTGCACATGTCCCCAAAATGGGGTAAATGTCCCTATTTATAGGGCATTGGGAAATATGCCTTTCCTTGGGTCATTAAGCCTTGGTAACTAGACTGCGCCGTTTTTCGGCGCCTTGGGAATAGGGCCCTTGAAGGCCGCCATTTCCCCTTATGATGGGCGTGCCCGTGTCTTATACTGGTTGGCCCATTTTGGGCGTCTCCTATGGTGACACGTGTCACTATTTGATTGGACCACGAGGCTAGGGTATTTTTACCCTAATTAGTTACCACATTTAATAGTAAGATTTTATCAGTTTTAAGCTCATTAATAATATGCGAGCCGTTAAAATTAAGAGTTTATCGCCAAATAATTTTTCAGTTAAAAAACACTTGATTTCTTATTAATTTTAAACAAAAATCAAGTTCTTCCTTTCAAGAAAGTGAGAAAAGGGTCTTCTACTATCATAACATAACACTAAAACAGATACCAAGAATGACAAGTGTTAGTGTGTTACTTCCTGACGGTGCTGTTTTTTCCCTCTAAAATTTTCCCTCTATTTTTAGCAAAAATCTTTTATTTTTGGAATATTTGTATAATACAACTATGATCATTTCTAATTTTATATATTATCTTTATAATTATTGTATTACTTTTTATTCTTGTTATATTGAGTTAAAATAGGTACACAAGATTTTGAGTCCTTTTAATTTAAGGGTGAATAAGCTATAATTTGGTTAAAATATGGTAGAGAGTATTAATTAACGGAGCCAAAAAATACAATGTTAACCTTTAATAAATTACCATTATATAGTTGTACAATAGTGGAAAAAAACAACAATTGTATGGTGTTGATTTGAAATCTTATGAAATAATAATATTTGAGTTATTGTAAGAGGTTTACTAACTTATAATTTTTTTGACCTTCAAAAAATCTATTAACTATTACTAAAAAAGGTCATGTTTACATCGATCATTTTTTACATATGTCAAGCTATCATTAAGAAAAATTCCCGCCAATACAATATATGATGTTAGCTCAATATTTTTTTTTTCTTAAAAAAATAATCTACTTAGCTTATTTTTTAGAAGTACATTGTATATATATATATTTTTTTTTTTTTGAACTAAATTATTTCATTAATAAAAAGTCATACGACATTACATTGTATAGTTTTATTGTGAATAACATGCATAATTAATGTAATATAATGTATGCTATTTTTAAATATTTTCAATACAACTAATAAAAAAAATTATCTTTTTTTCTCAATTTATTGTAGTTTTAATAATTTTTACCTTATTATTTCATCTTTCTTATATGTGTTGCAATTTTTATTCCACATGAATTGCCTCATTTTTATATTATAACACAAATTAATTATAAGAAAAAAAGATTTTTTTTATCGTGCATTGCACGGACACTAATCTAGTTTCTAAAATACCATAGTACAGTGTACTTTTTCCCTCTTTATTGTATCTTGTCTAAAATTGTTCCAAGATCACAACCAACAAAGACGGTTCTCACTCCGTCCATTGGAGTGTGTCTTTGCCGACGGAGGAGGTGTTAACCCTCGGTCAGAACCCGTAGTCCAGCCGCATCGTAGGGGTTTATCTGACTTAGCGCAATGACTCGTCACGGCACTTCAATCGATCCGACAACGAGATACGTTATTCCAATTTATCAATTATTTCCTTCAGTGTGAGTGTGATAAGCGTGGGACTATATGAGGTCAGAGATGTAATAAACCAATGTGGAGTAATTTTGTTAGAGTAATGTTGCAATTAAAAAATGCTGATTATATCATAAAGTGTAGCAACTTAAAAATTGGAGATAGTAGGTAGTTTATGAGATGTTCTTGTTTCTAGCTTCAAACTTTTGGGATTTTAATTACCTCGTTTGAGATTTTTCTTATGGTGAACGCATGCTGTTCTATTAGTTCTCCATGTTCGGCTTGAAATGCCTTATCATTTTGAGCATCCATGTGAGCTTTCTGTTACAATTCAATAGTAATATTAGATTAGACTTTTTGTGAAAAATTACTTAATAAAACCTCATTTATAAGAAATTACCTAATACAAAAAAAAAAACAATTGTAAAAAAGTACTTAATAAAAGGTAAAAAGTTGTAAGATATTGCATTACCTATGGCTAAATTTCCACCGTTGATCTAAATTTATGACGTTTACCTGCTCAATACACCCCCAAAACCACCGCGGGGGTTAGTTTTCTAAGTGGTAAGGTTATTTTCGAGGTGGTTAGATGATATTCTAAGTTGGTGAGGGTAGTTTTGTGTTTCGGGATGGTGGCTTTTTGAAATTTGTTACACGCACCCGGGTGTACCGTACACCTAACTCACTCAAGGTTAGTTTTGCTCTACATTTGATGATTAAATGAAAAACAAGCACCAAAATGAGAACAAAATAATAATGGGTGTACAGTGCACCCGGATGTATATACTCATGGCTTTTGGGGTTTAGAGGTGTTGTTTTTGGGGTTGGAGGGTGGTTTCAGCGTGATAGAGGCAATTTCAAGCAGTTTGAATTGTGTTGGTTTTGCGAATGAAAGTGATGGTTTCGAGGGTGCTTTGAGGTGGGTAAACGATGGAAATCCGGTAGAGGTAGTTTTTTACAACATTTTACCTTTTAGTAGGTAGTTTCGTAAAATATTTTTTCTATTTGATAGTTTCTCACAACATCTAGGTTTTATTAGGTAGTTTCTTACAAAATTTCCTATTAGATAATCAATAATTATTTGATTAATCATTAATACAATAACTTATGGGTTGCTTAATAGGGAATTCTGTATATACCTTAGTAGAGCCAGGGACGGTGGGTGCAGCGCGTTGAAAAATGACCTCAAAGATATGAAGTAGAGGCTTCAAATCGATGTCACGCTCATCAGGGGCATGTATGGCTCGAAGTCGGTTCAACAATAATGTCATGTCTTTAGAAGCCGATAACAAATGTTGAATACCCCTATTAGAACTTGCCATTGCATTTGTTTAAATGTATAATTTAGTATATAAGCTGCTGAATTTATGGATCTCCTTCGTTCTATAGCTTATATAGTTTCATCCGATGGTTAGATATTGGAATAAAGGTCAAATGAATCTACTACCTTACTTGTATTAGGGTCAAAACTTTTGATCAACTTACAGGGTTAAGAAGTTTAAGAGAAGGAACTTGACTTCCTTTGTAAGTTGTTACTACTTTGAATAAAGATAGTCTTAAGATTTTGATTTTATGCTAGGAAACTCGATTGGTTTTAATTTGGTACTTTTACTGCTTGGACTCTTTATGGCCTCCTTTTTTATTTTTATTTTTGTTTTTTTAAGGGCTATACTCTAATGGTTGAGAAATCTAGGACTCTTTATGTTTTGAAATTAACTCACTCCATCTCATAACATAATTATTTATTTATTTATTTATTTATTTATTTATTTTTTCATTCATTTGGACGTCCTAACATGTTTTATTTATTTCTTTTATTAGATTCCTTAACATTAAAAATCATCCCCGGCCTACTTTTGAAAATATCTATTCAAGCTTTGCTAACTATTTTTTGAAATTTACATAGTACACCAGGATGTACCATGCCTGCTGAAAATAACAGTATTTTTTGACTTTAATAGATAAAAAAAAAAATCAAAATAATTCTCTCCATAATTTATGGGATCTGTTAGTTATTTTCCACATTAATAGTTTTCAGAATTAGATTTTATATTTTTGGTGAGATATAATTACAATTTTGAAATACAGAGAGAATTATAGAGAGAAATTACAATGGCTTGGTAGCGTAATTTGAATTTCTACATGATTCGAATTGTAGATTTGTTGATAATACATATGACAATGAAGATTTTGATTATGTTGATGGTGAATTTGAGGATTTTGTAATCAAATGACAGGAAGGTACTTTTTACTTTTTTTTTATTATATAAATTTTATCATTATAGTTATGATGTTGATGATAATGATAATGCACTTTTAAATTATTTAATTTCATAAGTTGTAGGTTTTTATAATCAAAAGAGATTATATTTTTTATTATTAAATTTCATAATTTATGGATATTTTAATAAAAGGAGTTTTTTTTTTTTTAAAAAAAAAATATTTTTGTATTATTTTCTGAGGCTGAAGATGATGTTCTTCTAATGATGATGAATGTTCTTTTTATCATTTATTTGATCTATATTCATTTTGTTAATTATAATGGAATATGCTCTTTAAATCTGATTAATATGTTCTTTGAATCTAAATTATATGTTCTTTAAGGTATAATGTTCTAAATTAGAATCTTAAAAAGTATCGCCCCTTCTAAAAACGCTCTCTTCTCTCTCCTCTAAACAGAAGAACCACCTCCCCGTAAACCTAGGTGCTCGCTGGAGATCCGGCGCGCAACCGTTTCTCCGGCGAGTTTCCTCCTTTTTCGCTTCTTCTAAGCCAGTGAGTTGAGTCTCCGCCCTCCTCTGCTTCCCTTTCTTCTAGTCGGTGAAGATCGCCGGCGAGACTCAAGACTCCGCCCTCCTCCTTTTCTCTTTCTTCTCTTCTCCCATCTTCTTTCCCCTTCTCGATCTGCTCTGAGACGATCTCAGATTCTGAGTCGTCACCCTCTTATCTTCTCTTAACCCCTTTTAATTTCAGTCTTGAAGGTGTTGTTGTGACCCTTTCCGCGGCTAAGACGATTTAGAGAAGCCCCGTGTTACCCACCTTTGAGAGGGAGGTTTACGGTCAAAGGATTTCGCCGGCGAAACAAGATGCCTAAGGACTAAGCCTAACGCCGCCATCATAAAGTTCATTGGTAATTTTAACAGCGACGAAAACGGTAAAGTTAGGGTTAGAGTTTCATGGGTCCTTGCGCTGGAGGGCCAGGCCTAACGCCGTCGTCAGGAGTGGTTCGTGACGGAAACGGTGAAGTTAAGGTTATGGTTTTGAGGTTCTTTGCTATTATGGTTTCGGATTTTGGTTCCGAAAGGGCTCTCTGGTTTGGTCGTCTTACCTAATTATGTATTTTGTTCTTGTTATTCAGAGTTTGCTTTATTTTTCAAAGCTATGTAGGTTTATTTTAGCCTTTCTTGGTTGTTATCCTGTTTTTGTGGTTGTTTTGGCTATAATTTATTGGATGGTTGTGTGCGGAGGGAGTTTGGATCCTTTGTCAAGGGATTTGGTTTTGTTGTTGTGTTGGCCTGGGGAGAGTTAACATGTATTGCCGTTGTGTGGGGGACGAACAAGAAGTTGACCATGGCTAGGGTGAAGTGTGTGTTATGGTGGAATGATTATGGTTGTCATTCTGCTCCCTTCATTGTAGTGATCATTGAGATCATTACTCTTGAATTTTTCTATCCGAAGCAGGCGCCCAAACTTTGTTTTGGGGTTTCTCGAGCCTCGACGTTGTCAAAGCTTTCTTGTCAACAAGAACAGCTTATGAATGAAAGGTCACATGTCCATGTGATCGGTTTGAAGGCCTTACGTGGTGATAAGTTGATCCCACTAGGTAAAGTTGAACTAGACATGATCGAACAATTTCGATTCTCTCTGCTCTCTTGATGTTTTGAAGTAGGTATCCGCTCTTTGGCCTATAAAGAGGTCTTGATTCGCAACTTATCCGGCCAACTCCAATTATATATTTTGGTTTTTAGTGTCGAAAGTTGTAAAGGCTTAAATGTTAAAAGCCATGTAGTAGTAAGCTTTAGTTTTTATTTCGTATGTTGTAAACTCTGATTTTATTAATATAATTTCCTATTGTAAAAAAAAAAATACAAAAAAAAAAAACAAAAAAGAAAGTATAATGTTTTTTTTATTTGAATAATATGTTCTTCTATGTTCATGTTCTTTGTTTTAACTCTTATGTTCTTTTGGGTTTTAATTTCTAAGATGTTTTACTCCTTAAATATATGTTTTGTTGTTACATCACTTATGTTCTTTATTTTATCCCTAATGTTCTTTGGTTCATATGTTCTTTGAGGTATTGAGTGATGCACATTTTTTGGTATAGCATATGTCATTTTAAAATTAGTTTGTAAAGTCATTTTTAATTATTAGATCTTAAATATTTATTAGTTCTATGTTTTTCTTTATTAATTAACATTTAATAATTGTGTATTTTTTAATTCAGGATCATGAAGATTGATGACGACATTCTTTTTGGACATCATCTATTGATGATTGATTTTTAGATCCAAAGAACATTCACAATATTAATAAAGAACATGAAGAAACTAACTATAATAACATTGTTTGATGAATTATCCCGTTTAAATTTAACTAGTATGACGTAAGGACTAAATTTAAAGTTTTCATTATAAGCAATGAACACTTTATGACAATGAAAGTACATTACAATTACAATAAAAAACATGGACATTTACAATATTTTATTAAAAGATCTAATAAAGATTATTATATGATATAAAGGTAGACATATGGAATAAAAATAGTATTAATAATTTATTGTATGTTACAAACAAATGTAAAGTATATCATGCATTCTAATAAAGAACATTATAAAATATGTAAAGAAAACAATAATGGCAAATGACCATAATTACACAAAAATACAAGTATATTATATATTCATGGTTACTCAGGTGGTTACACATGTTCTTTCAAACACAAATATTTTTAAAATTTGGTGAAAAAAATATGAATGATGCTTTTAGAAAAAATTTTAAACAGAGGGAATGAAATATGCTGTAGTATTTTGGATAATAAAATTTTGGAAATCAAATTTGAAATTATCAAAAAATATATCTTGAATTGTTTTGGGAAAAAATAATTTTAGAGAAAGAAAATTATTCTTAGAAACTGAATTTTTGTAAAAAGATAAGACAATAAAAGCGGGATAAATATCATTTAATAACTAATTTTCCTAGTTTAAAGAAAATTACTTATACATTCTCTTGTTCTTTCAGTTATAAGGCAATGTTCTTTATCTTATAAACTAATGTTCTTTCTGCCTTTTTTACTTGTTTTGAGGCTTGCGTTTCATGTTCTTTTAGTTGCATTTTAAAACAGGTGTACCATGCGCATGGTACACCTGGTTGTAGGAACCACGCATTGCTATTTTCCCTATTAATTTTTTCACAATTAAATGTTTTTTTTGGGTGCTTATCAATTTATTCATTAAAATAATAGTGTAGTCAACCACCATGGGGACGATGAGGTTCCTTAATTAGTCTTATATATGTTACAAGGGTTAGTTAGTAATGTAGGAGTTACTCTATTAGTGTTGTTGGGTTTGCTATGTTATTTAATGTTTACTCATAAGTATAATAAGGGATTAATTTGTCAGTATAATAGAGGTTACTTTATCAGTGTCGTGAAGATTACGCCATTTTTTTTTTCTTACAAACAGTCACTTTATTTTTTGATTCATAAATTGTGGGAAGTGTATGTAAATATTGTAACACAAAACAACAAAGAGAATATAAAATTGTGCATTTGTGTAAGAAAAAGTCGAATAAAGTAAGAGAGTGAGTTTGAAAATGGGTATTAGTTAATTAATATAGGGTTGAAAGGAAAAACGGTGGTAAAGATTTTTTTTTTTAATTATTTATTATTAATTTTTTTTTTTTTTGAGGGAAGTGTAAAGGATTAAGTTAATGTAAAAGAAAGGATTAAATTGACAAAAAGTCTTGTGTAAGGCAAGTGTACGTTAATATTATGGTAAGACGGTTAGTTTGAGGGTAACTTTAACTATTTGTATGGTAACTTTAACCACTTAAAAGGTAACTTTGAATTTGTCGTTGGTTTGAATTTTTATTTTAATGTGTAAATTTTTATAAATTCATAATTAAATATAAAGGCTAATATGATTAATCTAATTTATTATAAATTTTTTTGTAAGATAAAATTTATTATTAGAATAATAATAAATTTTATAGTATAAAGGGTAACTTTAAATACTGTTATGATAAATTTAACCCGATTTACAATAAATTAACGTACACGCACCTTTTTGAAGAATTTGTGTTAAATTGAAAAGAAGGTAGAAGCCGTAGAACAACAAATTAAATCACAAAGAGAGTATGTGCAAAGCTATGGAGCATCTTTTTGGCAACTATTTGACGAGAACCACGACATCATACATCTTTATCTTTATGTAAAGATAAAAGAGATTGTTAATTGTGTTTTTCTTGTTTCCTTTATCAAAATAAAGAAATTCGTTGCTCTCTTGCTTTTATTCCCTTCGCCTTTTTTATTTCTGATAAATTTGCCAAAAATTAGGTGCCAGTCAAATTATATATTTTCACAACCAATGCTACTAAATAGGCTTGTTGCTCCAATTTCGAATTCTGCAACATTTTAATGGTCTTTTTGTTTGCATTTGTGCACACACACCCAAAATAAAAAAAACGGGCCATGTCTTCATCGTCGAAGTCATCACCAAACCTACCGACTCGTCGTCTGAAGTTCCTAGTCGAATATGGTTCAAGCCTATCAGCCTTACGCAGTAAGCTGAAGGATAAAAATCCTGAGAAGCTTAAAGAAACGGATCCAATGAACACGGTTGAAGAAATAAAGAGATTGAAGGAAGAATTAAAAGCTGCGAAACAAAGCCTAGTACCACCGTCTTACTCCTTGGATAAGAGGGGTGGGGATAAAGTCATTGAAAAACTTAAAGGCATTGTGCAAGAATTGATTTCTGTTGATGAAACAAATGAGGGACGCTACAAGGAGCTGCTTGAAGAGCTCGACGAGATGAAGGAAGATCGCCGTCTTAATCGCGAATCTCAAAAGCAGCATGTCTATGGTGGCACTATCAATGAGTTGTCGTCTTCTTCTCAATTTTTGCCTTTTGATGTCGATAATAATTGTTTTGTGGAAGCGTTTAAAGAGCTTTCTGAAGCAGAGAGAAAGCAGTTATTATGTTGCATCCCATTCGCGAAACAGTGCATTGTTGATGACTTCATCCCTAAGAATAATGTTGGTATAAGCAAAGGGGTGTTGGTTAATTGGTTGATGGGGATAGGTGTTATAGATGATCCTTTGATGGGAGAACAATTTCTTGCTACGCTTGCAGCAGAGCCCTCTTTCTACTTGATGCGCGCCGCTTACAGCAGCAGCAGAATTATTGTAAGCGCAGACTTCGTCAAGAGCTTAGCATCACTACCACCACCAGATGTATATAGCTCTTCGTTATTAATCAATCTCAATAGCAGCACATGTAAGCTGAACGACGACAAGGCCGTGACCAAATTGGCCATAGAAAGTAACGTATCTAGTGAAGACGAGGTGCTTTTGGCAGTACACCTCGGTAATTTTCACCGTGGCATGGGTCATGTTGTGGTGGAAGATACCTTTTTGAAGGAATTCGATAAATTATTGAAGGTGGAGAAACATATTGGGTTTCTGAGCCTTCAAGGGATATCGAGAATTCAGGAGCTGCCACACTCGGTTTGCGAGCTAAGCGAACTGAGGGTATTGGATCTCAGATCATGTCAAGACTTGAAGTCTCTTCCCAATAATATTGGGAGGTTAATCAATCTGGTATGCTTGGACTTATCGGAGTGTTATCAGTTGGATCACATCCCCAAGGGAATCACCCAATTGATCAACCTAAGATTGCTCCTGGGGTTCATAGTTGTTAATGACAATCTGCCGCTGCCTAAAGATTCAAATCATCATTTTGCTGAATTCGACGATTTAAAACGCCTGACAAAGCTCATCAAATTGACTATTCGCACTAGAAGAATGATGTTTCCCACAAACGAAGATCTCCAGACTCTTAACTCGATGCAGGAGCTCAGGAAATTGAAAGTCGCTTGGGTGAAAAGCTTCGTTTCAAACACGCAAAACGAGATACATTTGTACACCCATGGACTCCCTAAGACCTTACAGAAACTAGAGCTCCAGGCTCCTCCTGACACCACAGTTTCGCGACTGCTAGGCCTAATTAGTAAGAGAAGCTGTTACCGTAGCCTCGAAAAGCTCTACATCAGAGGAGGTAATCTCCAGATGCTGTTTTCAGAACACCATTGCTTCCGTCATGTTAAGATCTTGCGTCTTCGACATTTGCATCAACTTCATATGACATGGCATGATTTTCGGCTTTCATTTCCGAACTTGAGTTACCTTCATATAGCTGAATGTCCCAAACTTATCTACTTCCCATGTGATGAAAATGGTGAGTGGATTCAGTTGGAGTCATCTAATTAAGGTACATTCCATAATAATATCCAAATGTTTGTTTATTCTTTTCGATGATCAGTAATTTCTCTCAATAAATCAATAATATATTTAGAGAAGTAGTAGCAAAAATCAGTGACTAATTAAGGATTTTGTTGTCCTGTACTTTGGCTAATTAAGATTTAATTTTCCTTGTCATGTACCTATATGTATTGTTTAAATTATTGATTCATGTTATTTTTATTCTTTTGTATTGTATTCCCTTGGTATTTAGCGGATACAATTTGACTTTTGTACTATTTATGAATTTATCTAATTCACTTTGACTAATGTTTGTAATTTATACATAAGAATAAATATATTTTTGTGGGCAGTTATTGATATTCAATTTTTATAAATTTTACTTATTGATAATTAAAGACATTATCCGTTACATAGTTTTGCATTGACATACGTGTATAAGAGAAACATTTCACTTATTTAAATACAGAAGGAGTAAATTTTTTTTCTTTTTTTTTTCATAAAAGAGAAGTTACTTATTAAAAAAACAAAAACAAAAAAAAAAAAAAAAAAAAAAAACAGTTATCATATTATATGGAAGTAAAGAAGTGATCAATAACAAAATACTTCGTATAGATATTGTATACATGCTTTAAGCTTACAATCTAGATTATAAAATACCACCCCTGAAAACACTGTATTTAGAACTAACTAACCCTTTTATAGGAAGTTATAAAATACCCCCACTTAAAATCAAAAGTGTTAGATTTCACCACATTTTAACAAAAAGTTCCATTTTTAAAAATAAAAACATCGTTTTTTTGTGTCAAAACTTGATCTATTAAGCTTTCGGGTCATTTTGGTCCTTTGCAATCAATTTATGGTCGGAATTGGAAAAAGTTGTCGGAAATTACTTGCTTTGTGTGCTAATAATTACCTCTTCTTACGCGTCACATACAAAATGAGCCATTTTCAATAACTTTTTCAAATTGTGACCTCCAATCACATTCAAAGGACCAAAATGACCCCCACGACTTTAATAGAGTAGTTTTGGCACAAAATTCAATGTTTTTAGTTTTTCAAATAGAACTATTTTTTAAGAGGTGGTAAAATATAAAACTTTTGATCTTAAGGGGTTGTATTTTACGAAGTATATTTTTGTAAGAAAGGGTGGTTACTTCTAAATATGGTATTTTGTGGGGTGTTTGTTTACAATTTATCCTCAAAAAATATCATTTATTAATTTTTGCAAATATTATTGAACATCAAAATTAATGAATCCGAATAACACTTTTTAATGTTAAAATAGCCAATCGTATTAGTGTTAAAATATACACATAAAATATATAAGTTGACAAATTAAAATTAATGAATGTGAATAACTCTTTTTAAATATTGTAACTCTATTATTATCATCATAAGATGTGTCAGTGGAGTGGTTGTTTACCGGCAATGGGGGAGGGAAGGGAGGGAGTGGTTTAAGAGATAGGAGGTGGGTCGAATGGGTGGTTTAGGGGGTTGGGAGGGGCGGCCGACTGGTTTTCGGTGGTTAAGGGGGGTGGTCAACCGGTTTGCGGTAAGGGGCTAGGGATGGCCTAGGGTTATGCGCGTAGTGAGAGAAAGGGAGGGGGCGCGGTGGCTGGTAAGGGTTACACGCGTGTCATGGTACATTTTACAACAAATCATTGACCAATGAGGCAATTAGAGACAAAGTGATAACAAAAGTGAAATTATTAGAAAATAATCTAAAGTTGGAATTATTCAAAAAATCAAAAATATATCGCCTGAAATTGGATTTATGAAAGTGAATATTTCCTTCTTGAAAAGCATTTTTGCAAATATAACTTGGGCAAGTTATTGATTACTTCATGGTTCATTCAATTCATTGCTTACCACGTACTTCAGAACTAATAGTTTAATTTAAAGTTGCAAAGCTTAGGAAAGCTGTTCATCAAGTTAAAAGTAGAGTCAGTTATATTATAGCTATTGACTTATTGAGTGATTATTACCTTTACTTCAAGCTAAATGTAGGCAAAGTATCCAAATTTGGACAATACTTTTTGTGTGTTCCGTAGCTTTTGCCACTGTACTACTTGGCCTTAAACTTTTTCTTATGCTTCAGTGACATTATGTTTCACTCTTTGGTTTTTTCATTATACGTAGTATTAAATAATTGTATTTTATATTATAATTTGGGAAATTTTCACAGGTAGGTCTTTATTTTTGCTTAGTTTCAATGGTAGTCAATTTTTCTTTAGCTCATCAATGGCAGCCCTTTATTTATTAGAAAATTACATTTGTGACCTTACTAAGGCTAAAACCATTTAATATATATCGTTAACTTAAACCGTGGTCAAAGATTTTACCCCAGCATTTAATAAAACCTACTATTAAATCCACCGCGGATAAATTTAACAACATTTCTTCCTCACGAATTTAATCACTCTTCTTCATGTGGGTGGTGGCTTTTGTGGGTTGGGGTTTCTTAGGTGGGGTTTTAGTGGGTGGTGGTTTCGTGAAGGGTTTTTCGTGGATGGGGTTTTGGTGGGTGGTGGTTTCGTGGGGGTGTTTCTCGTGGATGAGTTTTCATGATGGATTTTGGGTTATAGATACATGACAAAATCGCACGCAATCAGTGTATCAATCAATATATTTCACATATATAAATCTTTTAAATTCTTATACATTGGCCTTGGGATTATGCATAGCATTTTTCATAAAATATCACTCCCGACAATCTAATTAACAAATTATTGTTGCTACAAGCCTAATATATAGGATAAACAAGTATTGAATCAGAAACTGCAATATAATCAAAGGAACAATATAGCCTATGTACTAGAGATGACAGTTTTATTTAGCAATAGATAATAACCGCCGCAATTAACACGGACACTAGAATTTGCTTCAAATATATGTGGCTGGAGCACCAATCTCACTTGCCAATAATCAGTTTAGCAGAGCGTAGACCTCGATTTTCAGGAAGAGGAAGACGATAACCAAGATGACTCATGAAGAGCCACACCAATGTTATGAGCTCTCCGCCTTTGCTCAAATTGGCAAAGTTGTATCTAGGCGAGGATCGTATGGCAGCGTAGCACAACATTTCCACCCAAACTTTGCTTATTATCTCCCATTTATTGTCTCCAAACATCACCAGTTGCTTAGCTAAGCAACATGCCTCATCGAACACAGATTGGCTGTCGTTGGACTTGGATACTTGAGCTGCAATTCTATCATCTAATTTATGATAAACCACATATTCACAAAAACTTTTCACTGGATCTCTAGTATTTTTACTTGCTTTATCATATGCAAGAATGATATCTTTTTCTGTGCTTTTAAAATGAACATCAGATTTGCTCACCAGCTGGGGCACCAAGTCCTGGCGTCTTAGTATAAGATAAACCACGTAGTCAGAGAGTTGCTTGCTAACTTCACGATGTGGCTCACACGTAGTGTTAGACTCTATCCAGTAGCAGATATCAGTAGCTAGGTGCCACGTTAGCACGCTTTCACTGTAATCTTCAACATCTATAGTCCAAGGTTGCAAGTACTCGGAAACGAGGAAGAAATCCTCTTCCAATACCAAATTACCTCTAGCTGAAGATACTTGTTCCATACCCTCTTTATCTCCTCTTACTAGCTTGGCCTTCAGTTGTAGCTCTGTGAAGATGAATTCAAGATAAGAAAGCTTAATTGGATTTCTTTCCACATATAGCCAATCGATCAAGCAATCTTTGATCCGCTTTATATAGATAAAATCAAGGAAATTGAATGCTTTCCGCTTGAAGCTGCAATTCAACAAATTGTAGCTTGAGGTGGATTGACACCACCTTTTAGCATAAGGGTCTTTCCACCGAATTGACCATTTAAGCAACACTGACAAAACATTTTGGAATGGTAGTAGTCTAGATGGATTGGCTGCCGTCACCTTGGTCACCGTGATAACAAACCAATCGGAATGTAAGAACCTAAGAAAGGAGACTATGTCTAGAACTATGGCACCCCCGAGCAGGGTAAAGGACACCCCAACATCCAAGGAGTAGTATTTTGTATTACTACGAATAGCGAAAAAGAACAATAAGGATGCCGTAATTAATGAAAGGAAGCAAACAAGGCGCAAAAAACCTCGTTTCTTGCTAGCCAAAAACACCTTCGTATGCAAGACATCATAAAACAAATTGAGCTCAGTTAGTATGATCTCGATACCTTTAAGTACATGTTGTTTGAGGAAGAGCATCTCAACAAGCATGTGTTCATCCGTTAAGGTCGAGACATCGTCTGCTAGAATGCCTCTAAAGCTATTATAAAGGGTGTAAGCATGATTGACATTCTCCTCAACATTGGCCTTATTGAGATCGGAATCATCATTAGTGTCATCAACGTTGCTACGAATGTATACAACCTCAAATCTAGACGGAATATTAGAAGTTTCAGCAGAGTAGTACTCATCAGCCCATCTATTGAAGGAAGATATTGGTTCTTCCCCAAGAGAGGCTCGAATACCTTCCCTACTAGCAAAATATAAAGCAAAAGTTCGCTCAACATATTTGATAAACCCGTCAATGAACATCAAGGCCATGGGAAGCCATAGACGGTTATGTCTACCTCTAACCATAGACAAGACAAAGACGTAAAGGGTGACCATCGTTTGGGTGATCAGTTGAAGTGCGTGGCGATGCCATAGCTCGTTGTCTTCGAAAGCCAGAGCAGTGATTGTGTCTGGACCGCCAAGATGCAGCAGAAGAAAGGGTGCCCAAAATGCTACGATGTCTGCACTCGGATTATCATCACTTTGGTGGCTACGACTGATCAAACCAATGACTAAGAGCGCGACCGAATCAGCAGACAAGTAAAGCAGCCAAAGGAAAGCCAATAGATATCCATTTGCGCTGTTTTTTCTTAGGGGTGCAAGTAATGCAAGCAGCGCTTGGATAACCAAGCTTATAAGCATCAACGTCGGGACTTCCAACGTTTGCCATGTCCATGTTTGCTTCATCTTCTTCGATTTGCCAAAGTTGTCACCACTTAAGGTGTATACTACGTACGTTCTATATGTAGTTGTTAAGTACTCAGAGTACAAGTTCTGATCAAGTTGTTGTGTATAATATACGTGGTACTAATTGAGTGAAAGCGTTTTATGTGTGTGGGATACTGGGATGAATGCTTTAAAGGATGTTCTTGATCAAGTTGTAGTATATAGTATTTTTGGGTGCTTTGTAGAAATGAAATCCTAAATTAAGCTATTATTAATAGCTTAAACTCCTTAGTTCCTTAGCTATTTTTTAAAACACCCCCATACACTATTCTGGTCTTTAAAATACGTCTTAAAACGTATATATCTTCATTTAATTTCATACGTATAATTTTTCTTGATATATTTATAAAAAAAATATAGTGAGGCAGATTCAACAAGATCTGACGTGATTATATTATATCTTATACATTTACAAAAATTTATAGTCAAAAAAAAAAAATAGAGATATTTAACCTAAATATTGGCAATGTGACAAAAAAAAATAGAGATGAGAGACAAGGCAATTCGTATCTACAATATCTATGAGTATGGTATGTTACTTTGTTTTTTTTTATTATTCCTCTGTTACAAAATAATTAATATTGTCAAACTTTATACACATGTCGATATACTAATTTGACCTTATTTTTATAAAATAAATATTAATTAAAATTTTACAAAATTATATTATAATTCTTTATACTTAAATTATTATCTACCTAACAACATTTTTTTTTTTTTTATTATGTTAGTAAAAAACTATAGTCAAAGTTAATACTTGTATATAACTTGAATAGTAAAAAAAAAAAAAGTTTAACTAACGAGGGGTGGATGAGATTCGAACCCGTGACCTTTGTGTCACGCTGGTTTCGTTACCATGTTATAGGACCAACGCAACCAAAAAGTTAAGCTGACAGTTGAGGCCCGATAATATGTTTTGTACTCTATCAATAAGGACCTCTTAAGGCTTAAGGCTCCTTCTTTTTTAATATTTTTTTTAAGGAAAGGCTGAAGGCTCCTAGTAGTGCTTATATTAATTTCTTTTCATTAAAAAAGAAAAGAAAAATTATAAAAAAAAAAAGCCTAGATAATTAATTAATCTATTATTCGTTGCATAATTTTTTTTTACGCGGTAAGATAAGGAAGTGTCCCTCCTATCAGGCTATCATAGAAAGGGTGGGGTAAGGATCAAACCCAGGCCACTCTTGCGGATGAAGGAAAGACAAACCGTTCCTCCAATCTATGATCCTTTAATCATTGCATAAAAAAAAGAGTAACCTTGTACTCTTTTTTCCCCATTTCATCGTGTTGCATTTATAATTATTCTTAGGGCTTGTTTAGTTTATCTTATTTTTGCTTATTTGAATTGATTTGATATGCTCTAATTTGATCTGAACTGAATGTCAGATTTGACCAAACTTTGACCTTAAATATACGATAATCTACACAGAAAAAATATATCAAGTGGGGTCTTGTTAGATTCGTAATAATGTATATTTTATTAATACCCCCTCCGTTTTTAGATACGTACTCCACTTTTCATTTTCGGCCGTTTTTAAATACTTGCTCTATTTCCTTATTTGGAAAGCTTTTACAATATTTAATTAATTTCTCTCACGTAGTGGACCCACCATAAATCATATTTAATAAATTTCATATTCTCTCTCCTCCCATTCTCTCCACTACTTTTTTTTTTTACAATTTTTTTATTCTTCCACCTACCCCACTACCTTCATATTTTATTATTTTTCCAAATTTCTCCTAAAACTCCGCACATGGAGAAATGGAGCAAGTATTTAAAAACGGAGGGAGCATGTGATTTCATAATTTTTTTTCATTACGAAATTAAAGATATTTAGCAATAAAAAACTACACATAAAACGATCTATCTGAACTTATTTTTTCTGATTTAAACTTATTTTTTCCGATCTGATCTGATCTGAACTTATTTTTTCTGATCTAAACTTATTTTTTCTGAAATAAGTAAATATAAGGTGAACTAAACAAGGCCTTAACCACCTGTCCACCTCTATCGGTTATACCTTGCAAAGATGACTACTGCAAGTTATTACAGAATGTTTCATTGCTGACTTCGTACTTCAAGAACTAATACTAATTTGCTGTAAAATAAACAAAAAAGGTTTATGCGAAAGCTGCTCATATTGAACAGTCCACTTTACTCTAGTTGTTGAGTGATGATAACCTTAACTTTATGTTGCAAAAGAAAGGCAATTTGTTTTTGTGTGTTTCAAGTTATTGTTTTTGAGAATGTACTTGAACCTAAGTTTTATTCTTAGCTTCATTAATAAGTAATTTTTTGTTTGACCATTTGCATGTGCAAAATAAGTAAATAAGGATTATATTGTAATAAAGAAAAGGAGAAGGGAAATAGTACTAATTTTATACAAATGACAACATTAAAGAATTACTCATTTCGTACGCAACAAGAAAATATGATTGTATCTAACAAATACAACTAAGGATATATCCTCTTCAACTTATTGGACTTGAACTTAACTGAAATTACTCTGAATTATTTGACTTTATTAAACATATTGAATCTTATTGAACTTATTTAACATTAAATACCCGATTGAACTAATTAAAATTAATTAGATTTTAATAAAACTTTAAAGGAGTAGAACTTATTAGACCTTATTATTAGTAATAGTTATTAGACTTTGAAACTTTTTTTTACAAGGTGAAAAGAACATGCATTAAATGTATGATTAATACTGCCTTTGCTCCTTGGATAATTCTCTCTGTTTTTGTAAGGATGACTTTACAGCGTTTATCTAAAATTGGCTACTATAAATTAAACTACATGGCACATTGTGATTGGCTTGAATTTTACATATCATAATTTTTAATTTTATTTTGAAATGATAGAATGTAATAAACATCATCTTTCTAATTCGTTCATCAATTCGTCCTTGATTCCATGTTATATTCAACCAATCCATTTTGTTCTTCAATTCATAAAAATCATTTTTTTTTTTTTTTGTTTTTACAAAAAACTTTGATAATTAGGGAAAAGTTCTTCAAAATTTCATGAACAACGGATGAATTATCCTTGGTTAAGGAAGAATAAGCCGCACAATATTTCGTGGAGGCCGGAAATACAAAGAATAAGACTCCAATAATGGTGGATTTTGAACTGGGCAATCAAAAAATATACTACTCCGTACGTAATAACGTAACCATTATTCTTCTTTTTTTTGCATTTGAATATTTTATCCATAAATTTGTTTTTAGTTTTTGTGAACATAATGTTTTTCTTTAAGGTAATGACTTAAATAACTTTAGGTCATTCTTGAGCAAAACAATTTACTTTAAGGGTGTGTTTTATTCATCTGATTTTCACTTATTTGAACTTAATTGAATTTCTTACTTTGTATTTTGGTTGTAATTTGTACTTGAGTTCCCTTTATTAAAATTTATTTTTCTTGAACTTAACCATACTTATTGTGTTTTTTTTTTTTTTTTGACAAGAACTTATCTTAATTTATTAGACCTGAAATAAGTGAAAATAAAGTGAACTGAACAGACGTTAAGGGTGCGTTCTATTCACCTGATTTTTACTTATTTGAACTTATCCGAACTTATCTGATCTTATCTAAACTTAATTGAACTTATTTGATCTTATCTGAACTTATCTAAACTAATTAGCCCTTATTAGAATTTATTGTTAGTTATTAATTGAACTTGGCTAGCCTTGATTAACTTTTATCACAACTTATCTGAATTTATTTCTGTGAACTTATCTCATTTGAACTTATTTTTCTTGAAATAAGGTGAATAGAACAGGGCCAAATACTTCTTTCTCATATTCTAGACTTGACCAATTAATTTTTTTTTTTTTTTTTTTTTTTTTTTTTGGAAAAACTAGACTTGACCAATTATTTTAATATGTTGTCTTTTGGGTTTATTATTTTTTACTAATTTTAATGCAAAGTGTAAGATAATTTAATTTTACAAACATTAGTCAAAGTAGGTTAAAAAAAATAATGCAAAAAGTACAAATGGAGTAAGTAATAAAGTACGAACAAAGTAATAGAATGCCAAACATGGTTAACATTTTTTAATTTTTGATTAAGGCAATAACTTTATAAAACGAGGATGATATGCAGGTAGAGGTAGCCATTTTTTTTTTTTTTAATTCCAATAGGATTTATCAGATTTAATAAGTTCTGGGTAAATAAGATAAAGGGAACGTACCCTTAGGTTTATTGGCATGTAATGTTTGAAAAGGAAAATTAAACCACAAGCAACATACCATGCCTACCAAGCCTATATAAAGTGAACAGATTAGAAGATACATCGAGCAATAGAAACTCACCTTAGAATTTAACCCCCGACAAAAATAAAGAATTAAAAAAAAAAAAAATAAGAATGGAAGATTTGGTGCAAAAAAACCACATTATTCTTAGGGAAAATAAGGAGAAAATATCATTTTATAACGGGAGTGTAGCTTCTAGATTTGAGGGTGGTATGACTGGTATCGATGTGAATAGGAAGTTGAAAATGCTGGATTTTGTGGAAGCTAAGCTTAATATTGCGGATTCTACATTAAAACCAGGCGGTTCTCTTCACAAAAGGCTAGAAGAAAGGGTTAAACATGTGCTCTCTCATTTGGAATCCTCTCAAGGTAAGCTAACAAACAATAATTTATGATTATTTTTACTTCTATTTGAAACTTTGTTATTGAATGATTTTTTATTTTTTCAGGAATACTGAATGATTTTATTCTAGATTTAATGTTTAAGAATTTTCCTTAATTTATGTAGATTTACTTGTTAAAATAAAAGCCATTTATGTGTTCTTTTATAGGGAAATGCTAATAAACGTCCAAAAAGTGATCTTTTAATCATGGAAGTTAGCAATAAATTGATAAAGCTAAATGTAGAGCAATTTGAACTTCATTCAAGCACGTTAGGAAAATTTAACATAAACAGACAAACCTTTGGGCGGTCCTCTCATATTAGACTAACCTTTAAATCTACCCATATCAGACACAAGTTTAACATTTTTCTCCCAAAATGAACCCAAATGACCCGTGATCTATACAACAGGTCAGTTTTTTAATTTTCTTTGAATTAATTTTTTTTTTTGATTAAAAACCTTTAATTAATTTTTCAAATTAAAAAAATACAATTTTAAAAAAATAAAAAAAAAAAACACTTTCCCCTCACCCCACTGCCAACCACCCCCTCCTCTACCTCTCCTCCCTTTCCAGCCACCACTCCCCCTCCCCCTTCACCTCCCATTTTTGACAATCTCCTCCCACTGCATCTTTCGACCATACCCCACTCCCCATGAAACCCCTAAACCGAAAAAAAAAAAGTGAGAAATTGATGTAGAAAGAAATTAAAGAAGAATTGGAAGATTGAGAAATTAAGGGAAGATGGGATGATTTCGGAGGAAAGGTGGGTGGTGGTTATGGGGTGGTGTGGGGTAGCTTCACGGTGTGGACGCGAGTTAGGTGGGGTGGAATTCGGATCTTGGTGGTGGTGGTGAGAGGATGGTTATGGCAGGTTTCGGGTACGGTTTTTTTGGATGGTTTTGGTGGGTTGGTTGGTGGTTGGTATGGTGTTTTTCTGTCTTCGGTGGGTTGGTATGGTGGTTTCGATGTTTTTGGTGGGTTGGTATGGTGGTTCGGTTGGTAGGTATGGTGATTTCGGTGGTTTTGGTTGTTAGTATGGTGGTTTCTGTGGTGGTTGTTGCTGGTGGTGTACATAGGTGGTGGTGCAGTGGGTGGAAGTGGTGGTGGTGAAGGTTAAGGTGTAGGTGGCGATAATTCCAGCGGCGTTGAAGGTCGCCGACGCCGAGGGAATTGGTTGGCCGCTGGTAGGGGAGGAGGCTGGCTGTGGTGGGAAGGGTGGTTTTGGTTTTTTTTTTTTTTTTTTTGTAAAAATTATCAAAATTTAAAAATTTAAAAAAAAAAAAAAAAAAAAAAAAACTTCACCAACGATTTAATGACAAGTGGAATTTTACCTGGTATAACAGGTAAGGTAACTTGTTTGGTCCATTTTGGGAGAAAAATGTTAAACTTGTGTCTAATATGGGCAGATTTAAAGGTTAGTCCAATATGGGAGAACCGCCCAAAGGTTTGTCTATTTATGTTAAATTTTCCTTTTATTTATTGTTTCATTATTCTTGTATCTCATATTTTACTAAGTTTCATTCGTATCATTATCAATTTGATTTTATATATATATAAAAAAAAAAAACATAAAAAAAAATCATAAGTTGGTTAAATTACAGAAATATTTTACTCAAAATTAACTTAATTGCTATTCCTTTATAATATTTCAAATCAATATCATGAAGATAAATATTTTTTTTCCAACAAACGGAATGCTACTACTTTTTTATTTTTTGAGGACAATGTATGTCAATATTGTACAACTGTAATTACTGTAATGGTAATTATAATGTTAACTTTGTATGCAAGTCCAATTATTTTACAATCTCCATCATATTTTTCCATGTTTCTGAATCATAGCTTATTTCTGCTGTAATTAAAAGGTTGTAAAATCTTTGTGACTATAAGAGGTGATCATGGGCTGGGTTTTGCCAAAAATAACTGGCTCATTTTATGTTAATGCGCTAGGCCCAACTTCAGGTTCGAAAAGTCATGCTCAAACCTTAATGAGATATCATATACAGTACAATATTATGTTTGATATGCTCAAACCTGCTTCGCATAAAAAACAGAGGGTTTTTGGGCTGCCCAAATTTGTGGTTTTTTTGGATATTGTGCTGGGAAATTCGGGCCCAAAATCTGTTAGTTTGGTTGGGGGGGAGGGGGGGGGGGGCTTGGGGGTATGTATTGGTTATATACTTATATACGAGTATTAAACTTAAACCCTCTGTTTTTTGTGTAAAGCAGGTTTGGTTAAATAATTAAATAGTTTATAACTTAAATAATTAAATAATTAAACAAATAACCAATACATACACACATTAAATAGTTTGGTTAAGTTAAATAACATTTCTAATTAAATTTTACATTTTAAGTTTAATTAACATTATCATAGAAAATTTATTTTAAAAACATTACTAAAAATATAAATTTTGGAAAGTTTCAAATAATGTGTAGTGAATGTTTTTAGTAAAAGTTGCAATTAATATGAAACATAGGTATTACAATTAAATATTAGTTGTTAACTATTTCAGATCCGTGCATGCACGAATATTACGTTACAAAAAATTACTTTTACAACTAATTCAAAATATATATTATTGTATAATTATTTTCTTGCAGTTTTCAATAAGCCTACAAGGTACTAATAATGATGATGCATCTGCTTGTACAAGATAGAAGCATTAAGCGACACGTTATTAGTGCCATCGTGGCCGATTTGAGGATTGCAATGCCTCACGTCTAAAAAAGAGCATTTCGTGCAACTCGCTTCTAACTTAATTTAGGCGTTAGGGAGCAGACAAAGAAGGAATGTTGGTTCCTAGTGCTCACTGAGCCGGTACGGGGTTGCCAATTAAACAATTGATATATGATCACATTTTTTGCCTGAAATAAATAAGAATAAGTGAATAAGTAATTTTGTACACATAAGTAGAGATGTACATGTTTCGATTAATATAAAATGTTAAAATTTGAAATGAAAAAAAAAAAAAAAACTAACGGAAAAACTTTTTACCAAAGAATGACATGTGTTATTCAAGGTTTCGCCTTTAATATAAATGTTTAGGAAAAATTGCATTTATTAATCCCAACTTTGCACGATTTCATTTTATTAATCCCAACTTTGGAATATTCTGCAATAATCCCAACTTTGAGGTGTGTTTTCATTCTTCATACCCAAACCGGTCAACAAAAGTCAACAACCTTCTATTGTAGGTTGCTGGACACGTGTCGTCACGTGAGTGGTCCTTTTTTTTTTTTTTTTTACTGAACCAAATTATTTTTTTTAAAAAAAAACAGAAAATTATTTTTTTTTTTTAAAAAAAAAAACAGAAAATTAATTTATTTTTTAAATAAAAAAACAGAAATTTATTTTTTTTTAAAAAAAAAACAGAAAATGGGTCTTTTAAAAAAACAGAAAATTATTTTTTTTTTTTTTAAAAAAAAAAAAAAGAAAATTATTTTTTTAAAAAAAAAAAAAGAAAACAGAAAATGGGTCTTTGGGTTTTTTTTTTTTTTTTTTTTAATTAATTTATTTTTATTTTGTTAAACCAATTAGCATGCAACACGTGTCAAATAAATGGATTTAAATTTTTTTTAACCCTTTCTTCAAGTAACCGGTAATCCGGATCGAAGAATGAAAACACACCTCAAAGTTGGGATTATTGCAGAATATTCCAAAGTTGGGATTAATAAAATGAAATCGTGCAAAGTTGGGATTAATAACTGCAATTTTTCCTAAATGTTTATAGATAGATACTTGTGTCACATTTCTCGTAACTTGTGATATGATATCGAGTATAATGTGTGTATGTATTGGTTATTTATTAAATTATTTATTTTAATTCACTTTCGTCCATAGGTGATCAAATCAAAGGAAAGGCCAAGGAATCCGAATATGAAAGTCATGAAGAGAACCATGAGAATATCGGCTTGGAACGATTGTTCATGCTTTTAGAAGAAGAGGTGAGTGATGATAACATTTCTTTTCCAAATAATATCTTACAGATTATTATGCATGCTTCCCTACCTTATAAAATGTATATATAAGATAACTGTTACGCATAGCGTGCTACCGACTATACCAAATGTGTACACAAATTTGTACAAAATGTATATTTACATTTTTACCCTCATTAATATGTTTACCATTATTAATATATTAAATATTTTTTTAATTAAACATATCATTAATTAATTCAAGGGAATTTCTCATTGGTAGCCATAAAGAATTGCACATTATCTGGTAACAATTTTTTTTACAAATTCTCCAAAATAGCATTACTTTTATTAAGTTTCCCTAACATGACAATATTTTTGTATTTAACAACTAATTAACTTAATTAAACAATAATTAACCTAATAATTCACCAAAAAAAAAACCGGCCACCCCATCTTCCCTGCCCCCACCCCCGCCACCCTATTCCCCACGTCGACCACCCCCTGCCGGCGTGTATTACCCTTGAAAATTGTGCGCCGACACCGGCAACACCTCACCTCGACCCCACAACACACTACAACCACCATTCAACCGCTACAACCACCAATTCACCAACAACACACAACAGCGCGCAACCTCTCTTCACACCGGTCAGCACCAACCCCCCCCCCCCCCCCCCCAAGGCTCCGGCGAACACGATTTGCCCCACCCAAGTTGTCTCCACTTCGTTCATTCCTCCCCTTAAACTATCACTCGAAACAATTAAACCCCGAATAAAAAAAAATCTAGGGTTTCGATTTGCCACCGATCGTACTTTAAACTTCATACAATGAGGAATTCTTTGATTGAAAGATTGAAAATCGCGATTCACAGGAGAATTGGAAGATAGACGAAGATCTTTGACGGATTTTTGAGAGAGCGGATATTAGGATTTTTCAGATTAGTGATGATGAATGAGGAGCAAGCACGTGGTTCAAGGGTCGAGGGTCAGTGTCAGGGTCTAGGTAAGGTATAGTCGACGCCGGCGCGCGGTTCCATGGATAATACGCGTCGGCGTGCGGTGGCTGGGGTGGGAGCAAGGTGGCGGGGGTGGGGATAGGGTGGCTGGGTATTTTTGTTTTATATTTTTATTTTTAATTATTAGGTTAATTCTTTTTTAATTAAGCTTATTAGTTTCTAATTGTAAAAATATTGCTATGTTTGAGAAATTTATAAAAAGTAATGCTATTTAAGAGAATTTGCCAAGTATTTTGTTCCCATTGAGAATGTGCAAAACTACATAGCTACTATTGAGAATTTCCCTTAATTCAAAGTTTTTTTTTAACAAAAACTTGTAATGCTTTTTTTTTTTTTTTTTTGAATAAAAAGACTTCTAATGCTTTATACTTCATATGTTATTATTAATATTATTTAAAAAGAAAAAAAATTTAATCTACGAAGAGACGTTTTATTACTAAAAGACTGTTAATTTTTACTCCTTCGTGGTTGCTCTTCTTATTTACAATCTTGTCGTCCTTTAATTACAACTATTGTTTAGGTTTATTAGCTTTTAGTGATGTTTGAGCAGATGTTATCAAGAGATTTAAAGAAATTAAATATCCTAAAATCAAGGGAAATTGATGATAGAAAAAAATTGGTATTATGGGAGAGAAAATGAAGGAATATAAGAGGAAAAATATAACTAAGTCGTTATTGCTTTAGTAATGTTTTAGCTGCAGTATTTCACATATTACTACTACGTATGACCTAAACTCACAAAAAAATCATCTAAAGAAAACCACGCTAGAAATATTATACTAAGTATTATTGAAACATGCAAATCAATTAAGAGTTCTAAACTATTATTGCCCCTTAAGATATGAAGAAATGCAAATCAATTAAATATTATTTAATAATAATTTTTAAATAATACTGTCAAACTTTAGAGAATTTTAAAAAAATACTGTCATAAAAGATTTTGTTGGATTTCAAACGCATATAAATCCAATAGAACATATTATAAGTACCACCCGAACCAAAGGTGTAAACACACGCCAATACAACTTCTCTGCAAGAGCTAGCCTCTTTGCGCGCATCGCGCACGTTGGCTACCCTAGTAATTACGAAATGTTTTTATAGGTTATTTGCCATAGAGTTATAATAGCCTCTTGCTCAAGTTGTTGTATTTTAGTGGTCTCTTAAAGAAAATAAATCCACATGAAATCTTTTTATAGTTAAATTCCATATAAAATAGTGGAAAAACAAATCAGTAATATCACCTTTGTAAATTACTAGTTGTTTCGGCAAAAATTGGACTAACTGGACCTTGGAGCACTGCTTGTGGACCTCGAATTTGGGCCTTGAATGGTCCCGCAAATGAACCCTGAGCTCCGAGGGTTGACCCCGGGGCGGAGCCTTCGACGCCCAAGTTAGATGCCAAACAATGCATGTTTTGAGAGGGTTTTAGGGGAGAGAGAGAGGAGGAGGATAATCATCTTAGAGTAAGATTGACCTCTTTTTACCTTTGGCCCCTTGAGGGGTATTTATAGTAATGCATGAGTGGGTATTGTTAACGCTAGTAGTTCATATACGGGCAATTATGGGCCATATTAGTGCAGTTGGCTTATTTGAGGCCTTTTAGGCCTTTTTATGCCCTTTAGGCTTATATGAGTAGGATTAACCTTGACTAAAATGGGTATGACCATTTTAGCACCCAAACACTAGTAGTAACGGGTTCCAGAGTAATTAAGATGATCTTTCAGTGGCCATAATGATCAAGTAAGGTTGTATGGTTGAAGAGTTGATAGTTAAAGATAAACTTAGTCAAAAAAAATTTGCATTGCCATACGTGTTTAAGGGAAACATTTCCCTAAAAAAATGAAGGGAGTACACTTTTAACTTTATAAAGTAATTACTCCGTAATAATTATTCTTTTATCAAAATGAAACACTTGTGCATAACTAGGCTAATGTTTAAAGTCTCAATAGTAAGCCTATTGCTTATTCGCTGTATTCAATGATTATATTATTATCAGTTTTTATTACCATTAGGATCTAGGCTAAATTAGAAAATAACACCCAATAAAAACCCCGATTTTGATAATAACACTTCTAAAAAAAAATGTTTTATTATAACACCACAAAAAATCCCAAAATTTTGGTTTCACCACCCACTAACGAATTTTTGGATGGAAACCGTTAGTGGGGTCCACTAGGGACACGTGTCAGTTGTTTATTGGTTTTAAAAAAAGAAAATTAAAAAAAAGGAAAACCCCTAAACCCTAATCCAGCCACCAGCCCCACCACCGGCGGCTGTGACTCCACCATCGAAGAATCCCACTGCCGCCAGAAACCCTTCCTTCACCGGCGGAATCACCGGCCATCACCCCCACCGACATTAGCCCCCCCCCCCCCCCGCAAATCCCATTCCCCCTTCCCTCTGCCCGAAAAATCACCCCCACCCACCACAGCTGCCCCCCCGCAAAAACCACCTAGCCCGTTCAATTCTCCCCCTCGCCGAAAACCACCCTTGGAATTACCCCTCACCTTCAAACCGGTTGAAATCGACCTTAGAAGCCCCAGATCTATCGATTTCGCGGTGGAGGCGAATGGAATTGGTTGTTTTCGCCGGTTTGTGGTGGTGGTTTCCACTGATTGGTGGGATCTGTGGGGGGGGGGGGCTGATGTCGGTGGGGGTGATGGCTGGTGATTTCGCAGGTGAAGGAAGGGGTTCCGGCGGCAGTGGGGGTCTTCGGCGGTGGAGTGACGGCCGCCGGTGGTGGGGCTGGTGGCTGGGTTAGGGTTTAGTGTTTTTTTTTTTAATTTTACTTTTTATTTTTATTTATCTTTTTTTTAAGCCAATACCTTATTGACACGTGTCCCTAGTGGCCCCACTAACGGTTTCCATCCAAAAATCCGTTAGTGGGTGGTGAAACCAAAATTTTGGGATTTTTGGTGGTGTTATAATAAAACTTTTTTTTTGAGATGTGTTATTATCAAAATCGGATTTTTATTGGGTGTTATTTTCTAATTTAGCCTTACCCTTATGCTATTGTTTCGTTAAACATAACAACGATAACAATTTATTTTATTTTAACAGATACCCATGGAAAAGGATCAAGCTATAGAACAAGCACAAAACGAGTTGACTCTATTCATAAACAAAGCGTTCATCGATGAGCCAATCGATAATAAGATTTTGTCGGAGATTGCAACAGAATTTTTTAACAAGTATCATCATGATCCAACCCTCCTTGAGAGCATAGCTGCTCTTTTTTCGTCGAAACATACGGCAAAGGAATGGGAGGATTGTTGTGATATTGTGTTAAGAATCATTAGAAATGCATCGAAAACCAATCTGTTTAACTTGAAACTTGGTAGCTATGAGCAACTATTGTCTGAAATTCAGAAGTGTGTGCATTATTGTTCGTTGTTTCCGAAGGATTATATATTCAACAAGACTGATCTGATAAATCTGTGGGCTTCACAAGAGAACTTATTAACTACACCAGAAAGTCCAGAGTCTGTTGGCAACGAATATTTTGGGAAATTATTAAAAGAAGGGTATTTCTTTGAAATCTTTCAAGGAGAAGATACTAGTGACATAGTTGGTTACAAGATGCACTTCTTAGTGAGCGAGTTCCTTAAGGAAATAGCAAAACCCGAGTTTTGTTTAGTTGATGAGTCTCAGGGGGAAATTGATGTTGCCAATATTTTGCATTTAAGTTTTGTTGTTGACTCTTCATGGAAAGCACCATCATCGATGTTTTCTGCTAAGAAGCTGCAATCTCTTTTATTCTTGCCAAGAAAATCAGATGAAGATTCTATAGAAGTTTCGGCGATGGATGATATCTTGACAAGTTTAACATGCTTACGAGCATTAGATTTGAAAGCGGTGAATTGTGAAAATCTTCGGAGTTCCTTAAGAGAGCTGAAGGATTTAAGGTACCTCAAATTAGGTGTCTCCTTTGAATCTCTTCCTGAAAGCGTCACTAGGTTGGAGAATTTGCAGACATTGGATCTTCGGCACTCTAGTGTAATGCAATTGCCAAGAGATTTTCCCACACTAAGGAATTTGAGGCACTTGTATGTTGGAAGAAGATTGGTTGATATGCCATTTGAAATTTCAAAATTGGAATTCCTCAACATATTAGATGTGTTTGTAGTTGGAGAATATAATAGGTTAGATGCACGAGGTAGCTTGAAGCTTGTTGGGGAGCTGACAGTTCGTTTTGATAAGGAATATGACCATAACGAAGCATTGAAGGATAACGAACAAATAACGTGCTTGTCGTTGATATGGTCGACTTCGTATGGAGGACAAACCACTGATGATGATACGCATTGTTTCTTGCAGCTGCCTCGAAGCCTTAAAAGCCTAGCAGTTCGCAGTTTTAAGGGTGGAAGTTTCGGTAGTTTCTCTATCCTCAAGAACCTTGTTACGATATGTATTGAAGACTGCAACAACTGCAAATATCTTCCACACTTGAGTAGTTTTCCTTATCTGAGGTCCCTTCAACTTCGTGATCTTAAAGCCTTGGAGTACATAGAAGATAATGATGATAATAGTAAAGATTCTAATTCATACTTCCCATCCTTGAAGTATCTTTCGTTGGTTGATTTACAACAACTCAAGGGTTGGTCGAGTCGAACGCAGGAAGAAGAAATCAGTTCTGATTGTGTTCAACTTAGAATAAAAGGTTGCCCAAAGATGATGTCAGTGCCTCAAATTCCAAATCTCGAGTCTTTTGAAACACGTAACATCCATGAGACACTGCTGAAATTTCTCTTATGTACATCTTCAGTTTCCTCCATTAATTGGTCAAGGCGAGTCCCCATCCCACCATTCAAGCTACAACAGTCCACCTACAATGGGTGGATTCGGTTAGGACCATCATCATGGTCGCCACCTCTAACTTCCAGGCTACAGAATGTGGAAATTACCTCAATTTTTGAGCTTGGTTCGACTCTCTCATTCAATATTATCATGAAGTCTTTGACAATCAAGCAATGCCCAAAATTGAAAAAATTAGACTTCAAACCTAATATGGTTTCGCTCCAACAACTTATCATTCATGATTGCAATGGGTTGCAGGATATCACTAGCGCACTTTACCTTTCTGCCCTACAAAAATTGGAAATCAAGCGCTGTAAGAAGTTGAGTTTGGGGGACGACAACATGAGAGAAGCATGGGAAGGTCTCCAGAGCCTCCATACCTTGAAACTCATAGGTATCTCCAACCTGGCGTCCCTCGAAAACGGCCTTATGGCCCTTAAAAGCCTCGAGGAACTCTCTCTCCATTCATTTTATGAATTGAAAACCCTCCCGGAGTGGATTGGGAAACTCACCAAGCTTCAACGCCTCGCCATTCGAAATTGGCCGTACTTAATTACACTTCCTGAATCACTTGGTGACCTATCTGCTTTACAAGAGCTTCAAATTCAATGTTGCCCACTACTCAAACAAATTCCCGATTCTTTTGCTCGCCTAAACTCTTTACAACAGCTTAAGATTCAACAATGTCCAAAGTTGTTTGAAAGATACCAGAATACGAGTGATCCAGACAATCCTCTCAAATCACACACTCATCTCATTCGTTTAAAGTGATGTGATGGCCTTTTGTATGTTATGCCTTTTATGTTCTGATCTTTTACTTTGTATTATTGTACAATCCTTGCCTGAATAAAGTTGTTATATTACTGTTTACTAATCATTCCCTCTGTTTCTGAAAAATGTATTATTGTATTTGTTATGGGGTGTTTTTATTTGATACTCATATCTACATTACTCTATTTTGGCTAAGCTAATTTTTCAGAACACCATATCTTACTTTATTCGAGGCCAGTATAATATATTTTTGTTTTAATGACAGATTGGACATTGATGGTTTTAGTACATCAAATGACTAAATGAAAAACTACACACCTGTTAAAAAAAGAAAAGTTTGTTCAAAAGGACCAACACAAAAGTTGTTTAAAAGGACCACAAAACACACTTTGGGTTGTTGAGGGAACCACTTGTTATTTTCAGGCAGGTCAACGCCGGAGTCCGGCATTGACCGTCACGTTCCAAGTACGTGACTTAATAAGTTGAGTCTAACTTTTTTTCTCAGTTTTTTTTTCACGATTTTCACCCAATATTTCCGATCACCCCCAAATTTCTTCTTTCTCTATCCTCAAAGCATAAACCCTAGATTGACTGGAACATGCAATTGCGCCCTCTTTTTTCCTAACAAATTCATCCACAGTGCAATTAAGGACAAGTCGCAGAGGTTAAGCATTGTGAATTTTTATCGAATTTGTCAGAAATCTGCAATTTTGGTTGATGTTGTTCGTTTTTGTGTTTTGTTCAAAATTGGATTTACAGCAAAATGAATCTGGAAATGAAATAACTAAGGGTAGCTGAATATCAAGTCGTTGAAAATTGTGCGTTTTTTGCCCTTTCCCTTTCCTTTCTCCATTGATAAGGTCGAAAACAAAAAAAAAAATTGAATAAAAATGGTGAGGAAACACTCCAAAACAAGAAAAGAAAGTGACAGGGAGAGAGAGTAAATCGAAAAAGAATGGTAGACTTTAGTAAATGCAATGAACAATGCTTCGAGGAGAGAGAAAGAAGAAGAAATAGAAAATTTGGGGGAAATTGGGAAATTTTTTTTTTTTTTGGGTGGGGGGGGGGAATCGTGAAAAGTGGGGATAAATGAGAAGAATAAAAATTGACTCAACTTAATAATTCACGTGATGGTCAACATTGGAGTTTAGCGTTGATCTGCTAGGACTTGGTCCCCTCATCAACCCAAATAGTGTTTTGTGGTTCTTTTAAATAACCTTTTACTTAATTGGTTCTCTACTCCTTCTAAACAAAAGAGACCTTTTAAGTGTTGCTTTTAAACAAATTTACCTTAAAAAAAGTAGTGAAGCATATTAGCTAGAATTCGCGGCCTAGATATCTAGCAAAAATTAACAAGTAAATCATATCTTGTGTGTTTATCCTTGTACGATACTACCTATTTTCATTCATAATATCATTGAGCGTACTTAGTTAAATCTTTTCCATTGTAGATTAAGAAACTGCCATTGCATATGCAAATCGATCATTAAGCTTAGCCAACATCTACGTGTTAAAATTGAAACTAGCAGCCACCATATCAAACCCCTGTCATGAACAAAACTATTTTGTAAATCAAGAATAATATTTGGGAAGTGTGCACTATAATATGCTCATGTAAGTATTGTTTATTCAGGAAATTTTGATACTTATCACCTATTATTGTTATTGTTTTAGCAATTATCACCGACTGTGTATTTTTTTTTTTTTTTAATTTACCACCAACTATTTTTTAAAACACTAAAAATTTCCACCTAGTTGGTCTATGATGTCATGTGGGCCCACAAAATAACATCCCTCCCTTTTTCCAAATCTTTCTTTCTTTCTCACTCGAATTCTTACTCCATATTTGTACCAAACATTGTAAAAATTCCAAATTTGTACCTCATTCCAAACTTTTCAGAAAATTTACTCTCAGTGTCTTGCTCGTAGAATTGGCAAGCTTAAAATCTTCTCTCGGGATTTTGCTTAGTCCATGAAGTGAAATTTGAAGCCGGATATCCACACTTGCAGATGTGAAAGCTTGTCTGCACAAAATCAAACCTTGACTTAGGTGTAACTACTTGTAAGTTATAGAACCAGATAATAATTTACAAATTCCTCTTAATTAATTCACGAATTGAAGACCTTAACCCCTAATTTCAATTGAAAATCCTAATTTGAACCACATTAATTAAATCCCCAAATTGAAAATCCTAAACCCTAAACCGAATTGAAAGCCCCAAAATTATGATGAACAACATACCTTTCTTCGTGGAATCGTTGTCATGTTGCAGCAAGAGCAATGTTGTTCCTTAATTTACTTTGCCAAAATCAATTACAAGTTTTTGCCTAATTTTAAGAGAAGAAGGGAGACAGGGGAGTGAAGATTCAAGTGAGAAAGAAAGGGAGGGAAGGTATTTTGTGGGGCCCACATGACGTCATAGACCCAACTAGGTGGGAACTTTTGGTATTTTAAAAAATAGTTGATAAATTTCATTTTAAAAAAAACTATAGATGATAATTGCTAAAACAGCAATAATAATAGGTGTTAAGTGTCAAAATTTCTGTTTATTTATTATCATGTATCATATACACAAGCCATCAAAGATTGACTTCAATCACAATTTTGCTAGTAACCCAGTAACACTCTATAGGAAGACTTAAAGTAACAAACTTGATTAATAAAAAGTTTTTGGACATGTGAATTTGTGAGATTTAACCCCTTCCCTAACTATTTTGAAAACCGGTTATATGAGTTGCATTCACGGATCGAGTGTAGGATAAGGGGAATCCATAATAAATTAGCACAGGAATAGAAATTCCAATCAATAATTAACATATGAACAAGCTAAGTACTAGTTCCCTAACTTTTGCACTATTTTGAGACATCTTTATGTTTTACGAGTAACATGTAATGCTATCATCATGATTCATGAATCATGTATATTTTAACTTTAATTTTAAGATATAATCAGTTTGCTATCACTGTTCCTTCGAAAAAAGCTTACAAAGAATGATAAAGTGGTAGAATTATTAAAGTTTTGACGTACTAGTACTAAACTTGCCAACTGTCTTATGTGTCGTGCACAAAAAATGACTAGCCCCGTCTCCATCAATCTAAAAGTGTAGGATCTATATATCCCACAGCAATATTTTACTACGGGTACTACTCTGTATACGTCTATACCAGTATTTTGTAAATATCGTGTGATGTAAAATTAAAGAGATGGTCAATTTTCCTTTTACATTTTTGCAATAGTCTAACTTTGTACTTCTTCGATGTTTTATTAATCGCAATACAAGGCCATAAGAGGATGTACAATTTTCTTAAAAGTGACACGGATTAACTACCTGTCAAATGATGTAATGTTACAACTTATGTTAAGCTAAAAATTAGTTGACAAGGTAAGTTAAATGCCATGACTAAAACTATCTAGAAAAGTAGTTAAGAATTACACCAGCATCTAATATGTTCTACATTTACAATCAGTTTTCATTTATGAATAATCAGTTTAGTCCATCCAAACCCCTGATTTTGAAGGAAACGTTCTCCTAAACCAAGATGAGCCATCAACAGCCATACCAATGTGATGAGCTCACCACCTTTACTCAATTGCGCGACATGGGACTTGGGTGAGCAACGCGTAGCAGCATAGCACAGCAGCTCTACCCAAACCTTGCTTGTTATCTCCCATTGAATGTCACCGAATGTCTTTAGTTGCTTCGCGAGAAGACAAGCATCCAGCAGCACAGATTTGCTCTTTTCACACTTATTAGTTGTCATAGGCAGAACCTCTGCTTGCATCTTAAGGACTTTATTACAAAACTCCTGAAATATTAACTCATCTTTTTTTGGACATGTATTTTGGCCTTCTACTGATGAAATCTGACACATCAATTTCTTGGTTACAAACTTCTTAGCCCCTGCACATATTCTTGTAAACCAACCACTGTCTACGTTCCGGTTCATAACCTTCTTAGCCTCATCACACGTATCCTCGAATCGAATCTCAGACATTCCCACCACCAGTGATACCAATGACTTCTGCCTAAGCAAAAGATATGTCATGTAATCTGAAACTTGCTTACAGAAATTAGGATAGTTTGTACCTCGAACAGTGTCATCAGCAGTCCAGTAGCATATATCAGTAGCAAGATGCCAAATCAGTACACTCTCATCATATTCAACATCCAAAGTCCAAGGATTTAAGTACTTTGATACAAGAAAATAATCATTTTCCAAGACCAAATTACCTCTAGCAGAGTACACTTCTTTACTCGCCTTTATATCAGTAGCTAATTTTGCTTTCTTCTGCAGTTCTTCTATGATGAAATTCACAACTAGTTGTTCATCAACTTTCTTCGTTTCAACATATAAAAATCCCATAAGTGCATCCCTAATGCGCTTTATTATAATGAACTTCAAGACTGAAGGAGGATTCTTAAAACATCGATCTAGTAAGTTGTACCTTGAGATGGACTCTGCCCACCTACATCGACTATGACCTTTTGTGCACCTCAGAAACTTGAGAAACCGCATCATATAAGATCTCATGTGCTTCGGCAAGCCAACCTTGGGGGTGGTAATAACCCACCAATCCGACACCATGAGCATGATCACGACGTATACATCTAGGGCTATAGCACCCCCTAACAAGGCAAAGGTTATGCCAATATCGGTCTCATGATAATGGTTTTTGTTCTCGAAAACAAATAATAGTAGGGATGCCACAACCGAGAGGAAGCTAACTATACGAACATAAGCTTGTTTCTTTTGCAACAAAAATACTTTCGTATAGAAGATATCATACACGAAATTAAGCTCGATTTCTATTACTCTGTATACCTTTGAGGCAGCTTTATCAAGGAAAAACGAACGACTTTCTTCGCGATCCTCTAAGCTTAGAAAAGCATCAGCTAGAAGACCTTTAAATTTCATGTAATATTTATAAGCATCTTTGATCATTCCATCTTCCTCCTCTTCTGCATAAGCATCAATTCTAGCCTCCCGTGTGTTAAAGGACACTTCATTCCTTATGTAATTTTTCAAGTGATTTTGGTGATCAATTCCTTCTAACTTGTTGTCTTTCGAGGATCGATCTGTAGAAAATGTTACAAATCACCAACAAATTAGAATTGTGACAACTTAATACGAAGTATGTAACATTAATGAAATACTCGCGAGTAATATTAATAAAATGTGGCATCTTAATTAGTTGGATTGACCTTGCATAGTGCAAATTTAGTGAATCAGTGCTCTTGTATGAGCATTATTTGCATTTGCAATGTGTTCTCAAGTGATTATTTACATTATAGATCTATTTTAATATAAAAGCAGCATAACTAAAATTCGTGTATAAATGTCAATTGTTGTTGTTGTACTACGTCTCTTTTATTATTCATACCTTGTATTCATTCAATTCATATACATGTAATAACCTTTTTTGTAGTTAATTTTTTCTAGCCTCTTTTGATCAATTAGAGATTTAGAGTTACGTCCCGGAACATTTTGGTGAACTCCTAAATTATTTTGTATTAGACTAAGTATATAATGATATACTCCCTATGTCGGTACATAATGTTTCATTAAAAAAAATTAGAATACAAAAACTCTAATCATAAATTAACATTGATATAATTATATAAGAAATAATTATCATAAAGTAAAATATTCGTGCAACTTTTTACATATGATTTTTGTCTTATTATTGATAAATAACTAAAAAAAATTAGCTAGCAAATAAGTGTCTTAAATAACGTGAAATGTAAACTTGTAAAGGAGGATCCCTTTCTTTGTTAAAGCAAATCAATTTTCTCCACACAAATTATAAAAAGTCCTCCAAATTCCTACCATAAAGTTGCACAACACCTAGAATCTAGACTTGGAGGTTTGAGTCTATTAATAAATTACCAGCCACATATATGTACACGATTTTTTTAAAAACAAATCTTTTTCTGTATAGGTGGATGATGTTTTAGAGCAAAGGTATAACTTTTGCAATTTAGCAATTAGGTTGTCAGTACACTTCATATGGGTTAATACAACTCGTTTTGTATGCAGTTAGTCAAATCAATCGAATAATCCCTTAAACATTGATCAAGTACCCATAAAACACTAATAAAGTAACTCTTATAACACTAGCTGAGAAACCTCTATAAAACTAATAAAGTAATCTCTATATTGGATGGCCATATAAAGTGGTCAGACACATATAATAATTTGTATTTAAAAAGGTTGACATATTTCTATTAAATAAGTTGAAGGGTGTGTTCAATTCGATTCACCTCATACTTAAATTAGACCTTACTCTGTATTAAATTTACTTTAGTTATAATTTATATTTGTGTATTTCTTATATACTCTTATTAAAATAAGATGAATAAAACAAACCCTAAGATATTGTTAAATTACTTTTAAACCATGAAAGTTCGATTTATATTCCATTTTAAAGTGTTTTATTAAGCACGTCTTATTTTTAAGCTAATTAATTTGTGCTAACTTGATATTATCATTTCAACTATTTATTTACAATATCTACCCTTTTTCCCTCAATCTCTTTTACTCTAATTACTTTTTTCTTTGGTCCACTTACACTTTCATTGCATTTCAACTATTCAATCCATACATTTTGACAACCATTATCCCACTCACTAAACAAAGAGAGTAATTAAGCTATCAATGATCAAATTTATAAAAATAGTGTTTGGGTCCAATTTAGTCAAAATTGGGCCGGAGCACTAAATGATCCAATTAAAAGCCCAAGGTCAAGGTTCAACTCTCCAATTGCTCAAAAGTCAAAAGTCAGCCCACAAGTAAGCCAATTGGGCTAAAGCCCAACCTCTCCAAATATGATGAGGTATAAAAGCCCTCATATTAACACATTCAAGGGGACATCTCATAACATCACATACGAGATCAGACACAACAACAACACATGCATTATCTGATACACGGATTATTGCAACTCATATGCTCATTCTTGCATTGAGAAATACTCCACAAAAGCCTCAAGCTACAAACTCTCTTGCATAGTGTCTTCCTTTTTACACATTGTACTGACTTTAGCATCGGAGGGGCCTTCCTCGGAAACACCCCCGAGGCTAGTTTACGTGTGTTCACTGTGCAGGAAACCTTCGGCCCAACACAGCTTGGATCGAATCCAGTCTTCTCCATTTTAGTGGACCTTCGGCAAGGTCCCATTGTTTTCAACCGAAACAATTTGGCGCCGTCTGTGGGGAAGACTTTCAAAAATCTTTAAGCCAAATTCCTAACCAAGATCATCTTGCAATTATCTTAGCAGCCATGGCTAAGAACCGCAAGAGCAAAAGCCTCCGTCAAGGAGCGGGCGAAAAGCCTAAAACCCCTACACCATCGCCCTCGCCGGACCGGAACTCTCCCAAGGGTGCCGGCTCGGGAGGAGGATTCCCTATCTCCTATAATGCATGACTCCCAATATAGGCCGGACCACTCTCGGTCTAGCAGGGGTCAGTCTGATCATAGGACATATTCGGTGTCCCGAAGCCAACCATCGGCTGCACGGCCTCATGCCCACACTCGGCCGGGGACCCCTTTGACGGGGCCCAGTTCGGAAGAGGTGGCAAGAGCGCTGGCAGTACTCATGGAGGCAATGAGGGCACAGAATATGCCACCGCCTCGTGATCGAACTCCTCCGCATACCCGGCATCAGCGGAGGAAGTTAGACCATGACGGTGGGAAGCTTCCTTCCTTCCGGGAACTGGAAGAGTGGGAGGAGGATTCTTGGAAAAATGAAAAACAGAGGAAGAAGAACTCTCAATTATTTAAAGGATCCTCATCCTCAAGACCAGCAGCGCATAAGAGCAGCAGCTCAGCTTCTCGGCCAGAATCTGCTCGCCGGGAACCTGAGACTGCTCGCAGAAGCGTCCTTGACCGACTCGGCGGCCAGGAACCGAGCGTGCGTAGTCGCCTCACGTTCCCTGCAGCCGAGGCCCAGACTTCCCAGCCAGGGACGAAAACCACTCCTACCTCTCTGAGAGGGCGGAGCGCGGTCCCTTCGGCCAGGAACAAGGGCAAGGCCATTATGCTTCCCGCTAGTTCACCATTCGAGCAATGGATACTAGAAGAGCGCGTACCCACGGTTAAAAATACCGTCGCATATCACATATGACGGGACCACGGATCCGAAGGACCACGTGGCCTCGTATGAGACTCATATGCATCTTTGCCCCAGATCCGAGGCAACTTGGTGCAAATATTTCCCAACCACTCTCAAGGGGGTCGCGCAAGCGTGGATCTCCAAGGGAGTAAGGCAAGGCTCCATAACAGGTTGGGATGATCTGTCCTCCAAGTTCAGGAGCAAGTTTTCCACGGCAAACCGCCGAGAGAAGACTACCGCAGAGCTCATGGGTCTGCAACAGGGGGAAACTGAAAGCCTCCGAGACTACCTGACCCGTTTCAGTAACGAGTCATCAAGCGTCTCTCAGCTGGACCAGGGGCTAGCTGTTTTTGCAATGCAGAATGGCCTTCAGCCAGGAAAAATTCCTAGACTTCATGGTCATGCATACCCCGCAGACCTTGGAGGAAGCTCTTAGTGCTTCGGATAAGTTCATCCGAGCCGAAGAATGGAATAAAGCAAAAACCCAACCTCAATCCGGGGGAGGGAAACAGAGGCAAATACCTTTGTCTGAAGGCCAAGGCCATAAGGCAAAGGGAAAATCAAAGGCTCCGGAGCCATCTTCGGCCAGCGACCTAAAGAAGGACAGGTTTGCCTCATACACAGGCAGATACGAGTCCTACACTCCGCTCTCTCTTCCACGCGCCAAAATTTACAGTGTGACGAAGGAGGAGCAGAGTTACCGAAAGCCGAGACCACTCCCAGAGTGGTATCAGCGAAAAAATAAAAATCAGTGGTGTGAGTTCCACGAGTCTTCGGGCCACAACACTGAAGAGTGTATCCAGCTGAAGGACCAGATAGAAGACATGGTCCGGAAGGGATACTTGAAAAAAATACATCGCGGATCACCGCGAGAAAAAAGAATCCGAGAGGTTAGCAAAGGACTCTCGGCAAGACCTTGATTTCCCCCGGAAAAACAGTAAAAAAACGGAGGGGAAATTCCCTCCGATCAATGTTATCTCGGGAGGAATATACTCTCGGAGGGAGCACAAGCGTCACCTTAGAGCTTTGACTCACCAGGTGAACAACGCTGACATTCAATCTCCCCAGTCGCCGGTGCCGAACATGACGTTCACAGCCGCCGACTGCCGGGGGATTACGTTCCCTCACGAGGATCCGTTGGTGATCATCGCCACGGTGGCCAACCACGACGTCAGTAAGGTCCTTGTTGACGGTGGCAGCGGAGCAAACATTCTGTTCCGAAAGGCCTACAACCAAATTAAGCTGAAGCCCAAGCACCTTACGCCGGTACCCTATCCGGTATCCGGGTTCAATGGGGCTTCAACTTATCCAGATGGGAAGGTGACACTTCCTGTCACCATCGGTTGCGATGAGGCAGCCCGGAACGTCATGATTGAGTTTTTGGTCATCGACGCTCCTTCAGTGTACAACGTGATTTTGGGGAGACCCATAATTCACGAGATCCAAGGGGTCGTCTCAACTTATCATCAGCTGATGATTTACGTCTCAGACGCCGGCTTCCCCGAAAGGATACAGGGCAACCAGAAGGACGCCCGAAGGTGCAACTACCTCAAGCCATCCAGTAGTCGCCCAGATAACGACAAGGATGAGGAGGAGAAAGAAAAAGAAAGAGAGCCGAGCACAAAAAAGCCGAAAGGCCTAAGTGCTTCGGCCCAAGGATCAGTGCCCAGAGAAAAAGGTCCCGAAAGGGAAAAGGTTGACTCTTCATCTGAGCCGAAAGACTCAGAGAGCCAGCCGAAGAACACAAAGACTGGACACCTGCTGACATCGGCAGCAGACCAGATTCTGAAGAGTCCAGTCCATCAGCAATGGACATGGACCAACAGACTGAAACAGCAGAGTTGGCCGAAGGAGATGCTGAGAAATGTGTAACAATCGGGATGGACCTTGATCCTAACACCCGTTGTGAACTTATTCAGCTCCTGCGGGATAACAGAGATGTGTTTGCTTTCTCGGCAGCTGATA